TGTCAGTCAGTGTCACTGTGGGAAGTTACACCCCAATATCAGAGTCCACTCGTGTGTGTGTGTGTGTGTGTGTGTGCGCGCGCGTGTGGTGGATTGAACCCAGAATCTTTGCACTGAGATACATGCCCAGCCCATTTTTATTTTTCATTTTGACGCAAGGTCTTGCTGTGTTCCCAGGCTAGGCTTGAACTCTGCTCTTCCTACCTCCGCCTCCCAGAATGCTGGGATTACAGGCATGCCCTGCCATGCTGGGCTTCTCGCACGGTATTGTAGCTGTTGTTTTCTATCTGCCAAATATTTTCCTAAACATAACTGTAGGTTATTTTATAACTAAGTTTATATTTAAAAAACTAAATTAATTGCATTCAGAGCAAAGAAATAAAATAGAATGTCTTTCTAGTCAAACTGCACCTCCCTCGATCAGAGTTCTATCCCCAGCAGGAAAAACATTCAGGATGTGGAACATGAAAGGTGCTTAGTCAGTGTTTATATTCAGCAAGGACGTCTTTGTAAATCCCACATCCAAACTTTAAACCCAGAAGTATCTCAAGCAGGCCAGCAAATGCTTTCCTAACACCTGCTAGCTACCCAAAATTGAGCTGGAATTTTTAGTTTCTTGGTGTTCAATAAATATTTATTGGAAGAGCGAATGAAATGGACATTTGGAGGACATAGGAAGAGAAGGGAAACATCAGCCAGTGCCACGGAGGCTCCCACAGTTACTTGGTGGTACATTTCCCCGTGAGAATTTTAAACGATTAATATTATTCCTCTAACAAGTGAGGCAGTGGATGCTCAGTCTGGCTTTTGAGATCTAATATTTTCCCCTATTTCAGACAACAAAATGTATCTGTGTGTATTTGTTTGGAATTGAATGAGCTAATTTATAGCTCTGCTATTAAAATATAAAAAAGCCAGGCAGTTTGGCAGTAAAATAGCCCATAGCAGAGAACATTTTAAACCTAAAGAACTGATTCTCCCAATGTAAGATTGTGAGATGTTTTTAGCATTTTGTCTTTATATCGAGAAATAATTAAATGAGCATATTATCAAGAGATTTTTTCATACTATCCAAAAATTTTGAAAAAATATTTTAACCCCATGTGAAGCCAGCTGGGCATGGTACCACGCATGTAGTTGATTCATTCATAATGGAGTATATTGTACCATCCTTGACATGGATGTATCAGATGAGGAGAAAATGCTTGATAATGGCTTTTATCAGCCTTTGCTGCAGAATTTAAGAGTCGCCCACTAAAGTCTGTCCGACAGCTGGGTTTACAGGTGTGCACTTCCATGCCCCCAGCTCCCTCTGCTTTTGATATCTCCAGTTTCCCCGTTTCACTTCTGATACTAGTAATTTGTGTCTTTTTGTTTTTTGTCAACTTTGCTGTAGGTTTGTCAGTTCTTTTTTACTTTTTGTCAAAGAATTAGTTTTTCATTTTATTGATTTTTCTCTTATTTTCTTCTCTTACCTGTATTTATTTTCTTCCTTCTATTTGCTTAAAGTTTATTATGCCTTTCTTTTCTGAGTTCTTGAAGGAGGTAGATTATTGATTTGATATTTTTCTTGTATAAGCATTTAGTGTTTCCGTTTCCCTCTCAGCATAACTACGTCTCATAAATTTTGATATGTTGTTGTAGGGCAGGAACCGTTTCCTCATCTCTCCTAGGGTTCCAGAATAGATTCGATACAAAAACTGACCAACATAGATTAACAGGAAAATAGCATCACAGATGCATTTGATCAGTGTTTTACATGCCCCAGAGACTCGGGGCAAACTGTCTGTCTTTATGCTTGGGTTTGATGAAGAATGAACAGCCGTTCTGAAATGTGACTGGACAAAGGGTATGTTCTTATGGTAAAAGATCACAGGGAAGCCCAGAAAAGCTGGTCTTTTACCATACTTCTTGGTCCTTTTGTTTAACATTTCTTTCTTATCTACATGGTAGGACCCTCTCTGAAAAGAGGTCCACTATCAGACAAGGCAGATGAAAGAATTTATTTATGGCCACACAGAAAGCCAGAGAAAATATAAAATATTTCTAGGTCTAATGGCAAGCTTTGGGGGAGAGAAATTTTAGTTTCCCTTGGGAAACCAACCCACCTTGGGAAAGAGGAATTCAAGTTTCTACGGCAAGACAAGGAAGGGCAGGAGAATGTCAGAAAGATCTTGTTTCTGATCGCCTTTCCCTGAGTTCAAGGTATTCAGCAGGCCAAGACACTGTACTTCGGGATATCATGTTCTGAACCCAAGCCCCGTATTTTTTTTTGTTGTTGTTCAATGTTTTTTTAATCTTGAAATTTCCTCTTTGTCTGTGGATTATTTAGAAGTATGTTGTTTAGTTTTAACCTTTTTGGAGATTTTTCTGTTACCTTTATTATTTATTTCTATTTTAAATTTGTTGATGTTTGTTTTATGGCTCAGGATATGGTTTATATTGGTCTGAGACACCTGGTCACTTAAAAAGAATTTGTATTCTTCTGTTATTGGATGGAGTGTTCCATAAATGCTATTGTTAGATACTATTGCTGAATTCTTTTATATCTTAGCTGGTTTTTTATTACTCTTTCAATTGCTAAGAGAGGAGTTGAAGTTTTCAACTATAATCATGGATTAATCTTTTTCATTCAGTCTATCAGTTTTCACCTTACATGTTTCATGATTCTGTTGTTTAATGCTACGCATTTAGGATTGCTATGTCTTCCTGGTAGATCATCCTTTTGTCTTCATATCCCTGTCTGTCTCTGGTATAGTTTTTCTTTTGTTTTTTGTTTTATTCGTACTGGGAATTGAACTCAGGTCCTTGCATTTGAGAGGCAGGCGGTGGAACCACTGAGCTAAATCCCCAGGTATAGTTTTGAGTGTCCCTTACACAAAATGCTTAGGACCAAAAGATCAATTTGTCAGATTTGGGAGTATTTTCATATACTCTACCACTTAGGTATCCCTAATATGAAAATCTGAAATGCTCCAAAATCTTAAACTTGGGGGAGTGGGTGGCTGGGGATCTTGCAGATGCTCAAGTTTCAGATTTCAGAGAATTTTTAATTTTCTGATTAAAGATGCACAACTAATACCTTTTTTTCTGAAGTCTTTTTTGTCTGATATCTTTACTCATTTTTAATTCTGATTTTATAACTGAGGCTCTTTCTCCTCCCCCCTTTTTAGGAATATATTATTCGAGTACAAAGAGGAATTTCTGTAGAAAACAGCTGGCAGGTAAGTATGTATTGTCAGTTTGAAAAAAAATCTTAAACTTGTGTCCAAACCCTGATTCAGGACATCTAGAAACATTCATGTAATTTAAATCATATTTCTTTTAGCTTTAAGGCAAGTTTTTTTTTATTCATTAAGTGTATTGGTACATTTTAGGTATACAATATGATGACATTCATCATTGGGAAAGGCAAGTTTTATAAAAAGTGTTTTCCATTCCTAGTTTGGTTAAATTATGTGTAGTGTTACCAGGAAGTGTGTAGGAGTTTGTCTCTAGCTCAACTCAGGACAAGATACCTGTAGCCATAGTTCAGGCTGAGGTTAGAATTCAGTGTACCAGATAGTAAGGTAAGATGGTGTCCTTGATATTGTACAGTCTGGGGCACTGCATTTCATGGACCCCCTAAAACCACTTGTGGACAACTTATAGTGCAACTAGGAAGGTCTTCTTGGGGTCCCAGGCTCTGCTTTCCTTTGTAATGGCCTCAAAGAGAAAAGACTTCTGGACAAATCTAGAGGTCCTTCTCATCCCAGTTGACTTATAGAGAGTAGCTGAGTTCTGTATTGGGACCATTCTTTACTGCTTTGGTAATTATTTTTAAAAAATAGTTTAAATATCAACTTTATGGAGACACGAAAGGGTGAGATAAAATTCACTCTTTAAAGTATACTTCAATGATTTTTAGAATATTTATGATTGTTATGTCTTCCTCATGGATTTTCCCCTTAACAAGGATATAGTGACCTTCTTTGTCTTTCTTAATCAGTCTTGGCTTGATATATACTTTGTCTGTAAATAGAATAGTTACTCCTGCTTTATTCCAGGTTCCTCTCACGTGGATTATTGTTTTCCATCCTTTGACCTTTAGTATATGAGTTTCTTTTTGAATTAAATGTGTTTCTTGTATGCAGTATATTGTTGGATCCTTCTTCTTAATACATTCTGTCCATCTATTTCTTTTGATTGGTGAATTTAAACAATTTACATTGATAGTTATAACATATATATTGACTTATCCTTGTCATGTTATTTTCCTATTGTTGGTTCCCTTGTTTTCCCCCTCTGTTTATTTGCCTTGCCTGGTGGATCCATACTGTTGGGGTTCATGCAGTTGTAGTCCTTATTATCTCTTTCTAGAATGTCCTTCAGAACATTTTGGAGTGCTGGTTTGGTGGTCATGAATTTCCTCAAGTGTTGTTCGTCATGGAAGTATCATATTTATCCATCAGTTTTGAAAGCCACCAAGCTCTCCTTTATTTGAGGGTTTGTGTTGAGAAGTCTGTTGTGATTCTGATGGGCTTTCCTTTACAGGTCATTTGTGCCTTTTCTCTAACAGCTTTTAATATTCTGTTCTTGTGTTGAGTTTCTTGAATGTTGTTACTATTATATGCCTTGGTGTAATTTTTTGTTTTAATCATGGCTAATTGGAGTTCTGTGTGCCTCATTTATCTGTATATTAAATTCTTTTTCCATGCTTAGAATATTTTCTGCTATTACTTCTCTGAACAGGTTTTTCATGTCATTTGTACTATCTCCTGCTTTTTCATTGACTCCAATCTTGTTGTTCCTCTTTACATCATCTAGCAGCTGTTGTATTGATTTTTTCATGTTCCCTTGCCATTTTTAAGAAATCTTTCTTTTCATGATCACTAACCACAATTTTGTCTTCTATACCTGATAATCTGTCCTCACATTGGCTCATTCTGCTGAATATTCTTTTGGTGGAATTTTTAATCTCCTGCATGGAGATCTGTTGGAATCTATTTCAAGAATTCCCTTTCTTATGTTGGGAATTCATGGTTTCCATTGTTTTCCTAAGCTACTCTCTGTATTTTTTTAAAAAATCTGTATCTGTTCTAGAGTCACTGACCATGTTCTTCATTCTGGTCACCATCTCTGAGAAATTATTTCTGATTTGATTTTTTTTCTAGAGCCTCATTCATCTGCTTTGTTATTTCCACTGTTAACACTTCAGAGTCCAGGTGTGGGCTTTCCGATTGTACCACATCACTGCCCGCTGGGTTTGTCTTTGTTGAGCTCAAAGTCTGGGATTGCATCTTGCTTCCTTGTCTTCTCATTCTTTTTTTTTAAAAGATGGTTGATGCTTGTTAATTGCTTATGGTAAGTAGCTTCATTACTAGTATTGGGAACCCTTAGGAAATGACTATTTCTCAGAGATGTCTTCCACATTTAGCTGGCTTTTGGGTTTTGAGTCTGTTGCAAGGTCCTACCTCTTCAATTCAATTTATTAGAGATGAGAAGTTGCTGTCTATTTGGCCTAGCCCCTGGTTCTTTGGCACTGGCCTATAGTACTGTTTATGACCCTCAGGTTAATCTCAGTCTTGGACTGTCAGGAAGAACTGATAAGAACAGTTATGTCACCTTGGCTAAAGTAGCACAGTCAGTGATAATGATAGTGTCAAACACAGCCTAGAAAAATGACAAACTGTGGGAACTGTTAATTTGTCACCTTTAACCATATGAACTATATATTTGCGGCTATATAACAAAACAAAGAAAATTATTTAGAGTAAATATGCTCTCAATACAGTGATTTTCCCTCAGGGAAAAAAAAGTTAAAAGGGGATGGGAGGAAAATAGAGAAATAGAAGAGGAAGAGATTAGAAACAAGGCTGGAAGACAAAAGAAAATTATACGAACTTTGGGAAATTGGTGAAGTCAGGCAGGAAAGAGAGAAGGAAGAAATAAAATCAAGAACAGAACTGACTACCACCAACAAAACTGGAATTCATAAAGTAAAGGAGTACACATATAAAAACAAGAACAGCCTTAAAGGGGAAATGCATTTCTGTTGTCCAAAAAGTGAGCTTTCTGCAGTGCCCAGCCTTAAGGCACCTCTCCAGATGACTTCAATGTCCTGATGGTTGCTGCGTGTGTTGGTGAATTTGAAACTGGTATCTCCAAGAATGGGCAGGTCTCCAGCTGTACCTGCCCCATCACCAGGAGGAACAAACCCAGCTGGCAGGAAGAGGAAAGAGGAAACTCTGCCTGACCTCATCATGGAGACCTCCCACCCCAGCCCAGACTCTACAGACCTCGACTTTCACTATGTAGCTCAGGCTGGCCTTGAACTCACAGTGCCCCTCCAGCCTCATGCTTAAGATTACAGGCATGTACCACTTCACTGGGTAAGAAATAAGATCCTATCTTTGGTGTTCCTTAAGTCTCAGGCCCTCTGGGAGGTGTGACTGATGAGCCAAGTTTGGGGCCAAAGCATGGAAAGCAGCCCTACCTCCAGGCCCCACCCCACTATGTACCTCCTCCCCCACCAGGCCCTGTAGCTCCTTCATGCAGTCCTACAAGTGCTGCCGGTCCACACTGTCCATCACCCAGATGAGGCCATCAGTGCTCTCAAAGTAATTTTATCAGTAGGAGCACAGTGACTTCTGGCCATCCACATCCCAGATGTTCAGCTTGAACTTGGGCAGGGCAGGAGGCAGGGTCAGCATGCCCTTCTCCTACCCTGCCCATCCTGCCTGCATTGAGCTCAAGGGTTCCAACTCTAGAATCTTGAAGTTGAACCCCAGTGTGAGAGAGATGGTGTCTATGTCTTTCCCAATGAACTTTTGAGGATGGTATTTTTGCTGGCATTGTCCAGTCCCCTGGGGCCTGTGGTTAAGGACAAGGCCCCATCATACTTCTAAAACTGCTATACAGATTCAATGCAATCCCAATTGAAATCCCAACAGTATATTTCACAAAATTACAGAAAACAATCCAAAAACTCATTTGGAACCAGAAGAGACATAGAATAGCAAAAGCAATTCTAGGCCGCAGAGACATGGCAAGGGGTATCACAATTCCCAACTTGAAATCATACTATAAAATCACTGTGATAAAAACAGCATGGTACTGGCAAGGATCATTTACTACCCAAGGTTCAGTGAAATAGATTAGAAGATGTAGAAACAACTCCAGACATACTCAGCTACCTCATCTTTGACAAAGAAGCCAACCATCCTCACTTGAAGAAAGATAGCCTCTTTAATAAATGGTGTTAGAAAAAGTGGGTTTCAACTTGTCAAAGATTAAAACCAAACCCCTATCTCTCACCATTCACTAAATTAAAATCAAAGATTGAAATATTAAAACAGAAACATTAAACTTGCTGGAAGATAAGTTAGGTAGAACCCTTGAAGACATTGGCACAGGAAAAGACTTTATGAGCAAATCCTCAGTAGCATGGGAACTAGCACAAAGAATCAATAACTGGGATCTCATCTTATTAAAAAGCTTCTGCAGTGCAAGAAAAACCACCAACAGAGGAAAAAGACAATCAACAATATGGGAAAAAAATTTTACCAGCTGTTCTTCAGACAAAGGTCTACTATCTAGAATATATAAAGAACTAAAAAAACCCAGACCCCTCCACATATAAAGACATGATTCAAAAATGGGCTTCTGAAATGAACAGACATTTTGCAAAGAAGTAAAAGCAGCAAATAAACATATGAACAAATGTTCAACATCACTGGTCATTCAAGAGATGCAGATGAAAACAACACAGGGATTCCACCTCATCCCAGAAAGAATGGCTGCATGAAATCAACAAATAACAAATGCTAGTAGGGTTGTGGGGAGAAAGGAATCCTTCTTCATTGTTGGTGGGAGTGCAGACTGGTGCAACCACTGTGGAAATCAATATGGAGATACCTCAAACAACTAGGATTAGAAGTCCCATTTGACCCAGCTATTCCTCTGCTTTCTTTCCAAAAGAATTAAAAGAATCATACCACAGTGTTATATATGCATCCATGTTTATAGCATCACAGTTTGTATTAGGTAAAACTTGGATTGGAAACAGCCCAATTGCCCAGCAACTGGAGACTGGATAAAGAACATGCAGATTTTTTTTAGTAAAATGGAGTACTACTCAGCCATAAAGAATGAGAAACTAGAGACATTTATAGCTACATGGATGTGCATTGAGGCCATACTCTTAAGTGAAATAAATAGGACACACATGTTTAAATACTGAATAGTTTCTCTGGTGTGAGACTGAAAGTGTAAATAAGGATCAAAATGTAGAACTGATACTGTGAAAGAGGAAGAAAATGTCTAAAGGAGCAGGGGAATTGGGAGGGGGTAGGGAAAAGGAAAGAAGGAAAAGAAAAAATATGAGAAATAGAAAAGCATGGAAACAAAGTCTTTGTAAATAGGGAAGGATGGAAGGGATAAAAGGAAGGGAATGGGGGCAAAAATAAGAACCAACATACATCATGTAAAGGTAAAAATCCTAATGATGAATGGAACCATACTGTATACCTAAAATATACCAATAAATTTAATAGAAAAAAAAAAAGAACAAACAAGGAAAAAAAAAAAGAATAAGAAAAGAAAGAAAAAGTCCATTTCAGGGTGTGTCTGTGTTGTCACTGATAGATCAGGTAGGCGGACAGAGCCCAGATCCATGTTGATTAATCCCAACAAGCCAGCCATAGATTCACATCAGGGTGGTGGATAATCCCAGCAAGCTTGCACCTTTAGTTTCACTGAGTTTGAGGCCAGTTTCTGGCTGTGAGTCTGGAACCTGATTTGTTAAGTCTGCAACACTCCATGTGCCTCTTGCCCACTTGAATTCAGCTCCTTGACCTCCTGCCAATTTTAACTCCGTTCTGTTGCACCCTGCCACTGAAGTCAACCCTCTCTGAGTTCCAAGCTCAGTTTTCCCTTCTCTAAGATGGCTACTAGCCAATCGCCCTTTCCTGGGGAACATCTAAATCCAAATAACTCACCAGCAGCTGCAATCTGCCATGTCCACAGCACTGTGGCCTCTGGGGTCACCAGCAGTCACCATGTGTCTGCAGATTTGAGCTCCTCCTATGCAGGAAGTCAGGGCTCAGGGAGAATGCACTGCTTGTCTACTCCTTCCTCTGAATTGAGGTCTCTCTCTGCTCTCCCCATGGGCTTCATTTCTTGCTTCGATCCTTGCTGGGTCCCAAGGACCTTCTCTTCCTCATGTTGCTATGTTCCAGTGTCTGGACACCAAATTCCAGAGAGGCTGTTTCTCTGCTGTTCATCACTCCACCATCTTCTCAGAAGTCTCCTGTTTCAGTACTTATATTTACCATCCCACCTCCTTCCAAAAATCCTACCTTACACTTCACAGCCCAGCTCAAGCTTTGTCCCCACGTTAAGCAGTTCTGACCACAATGGCCCATACTTGGTCTTCTCATTGCCTAGAATTTTAAACTGCTTTTTGTTTGAATAATTATTACATTTTACATTATTGAGCATTTATGATTGATTCAGCACTGTACAAGTACATTATTTCACTCTAAACCAACCCTGTGTAGTTCCAGTATCCTTATTTTACATTTTAGACGTAACTTGTCTGAGGTCACCCTTAGGTCATTAGCAGAATAGAGTTGGAACTTGCCTATTCTCTGTGGTTAGCCACCTTACCATCTTTTATTCTTTTGTTCTTCATTGCGGGGCAGGTCTTTTATTTAACCTTCTGATGTTTATTTGACAAGCACGGCTAAGAGCAGTGTCCTACTGAAAGAATCAAGCCTTGCTGCAGTTTTCAAATTCCATTGCATTAGAGACTTCAGGGTACTCAACAAAAATGTACTCTTGGAGCTGTCCCCAGACCTACTCAGTTTGATTCTCTGTGGTTAAGGCTCTGTGTAAACTCCTGGTAATAGTTTGACACACTAACATTTGAGAAATACTAATAAAAGCTAAAGTCAGGCTGGGCTTGTTGGTAAACGCTTGTAATCCCAGCACTCTGGGAGGCCAAGGCAGAAGGATCACAAGTTTGAGCCCAGTCTGGGCAACTTAATGATACTTTGTCTCAAAATTTAAAAAATGTTTAAAGGACTGGACATATAGTTCAGCGTGAAGGCCCTGGGTTTAATCCCCAATGCAGTCAATCAATCAGGGAAATGCTGATGTTAAACTCTTCAAAAGTGGAATAATGTCTTTATCCAGAGCTACTGGACTATGGTTGTGGTCTAATCAGTGGCATCAACAACACAAAGAAGAATGTAGGTGGTGGAGAATGGACTGTTTACCAGAGGGGAGCCTGAGAAATTAGGGTGAGTTAGGGCAGCCTTACCTGTGGATGTAGTGCAGGCTCCAGGGCCTCGCCTGGCAGAAGTTTTGGCCCCAGCAGGGATGAAATAGCCTCAAAACTGTCCACTTCTTTTGCTTGGTTTCTCTGCTCAGTTAAACTTTTGGTTTTTGATTTTTGGTAAATCATTAATTCATCTATGAACCTGGTTAATAAGAAAGTTATTTGAAAGACTATTTGCCCTGAAAATAAATGTTTTCACTTAACTGTTGGTGTCTTTTGAGTTTGTCTGGCATTAACCAATTTCGCATGGCCCAGCCAACTCTGGGGCATGGCTAGACCTGTTTTCTGGATCTGAGAGACGAAGCAGGGTAAGTACCAGGAAGGCCATACCCCACTTAGCACATGTGCCACAGCTCTAGCGTGGTAGAACATGTTAAAGGAAATGGAAAGGGATGTCCTTCCTGAATCAAAACACCACTGTCTTGTCTCTTACAGATTGTTAGAAGATACAGTGACTTTGATTTACTGAACAACAGCTTGCAGGTAAACATTTGCAAACTCTACCAATGCATATTGATTGCTTAGTGTCTTTGAAATTGTTTGGAAACATTATTTGTTAGCTTTCCATCACTATGAGTAAATACCTTGGACCTTGAATGAGAGTCAATGAGGAAAGGTGTATTTTGGCTCACAGTTTTAGGGTTTTTAGTCCAGGATCAGTTGGTCCTATTGCTCTGACCTGTGGTGGGCTAGTACATCATGGTGAGGATGCATGGTGGAACGGTATAGCCAGGAAACAAAAGGAAGAGTGGTCAGGAGGGACATGTCCCACATGCCTTCCTCAGGGATGGCCGAAATGACCTAAAGACCTACTAGGAAGCCCAAAGACTCCCTACTAGGCCACTCAAGGTTCTACCACTCTGGGGATGGAAGCTCTAACACATGGGCCTTTGGGGGACATTCAAGGTCTGAATTATAGCAAATGGCAATGTCAGGGATAAGAATTTAACAAATTCCCTTGGTAAAGGAGATTAATTCATGATTTAAACAGATGATGTATGGCTCCAGAAATAAACGTTTGCCCTTGGGAGGCAGAGACAGGATCTCTGCAAGCTCAAGACCTGCCTCAACTATATAATGAGACCCTCTCTCAAAAAAACAAAACAAAAAGGGCCAGGGATTTAGCTCAGTGGTTCTACTGCCTGCCTTGCAAGCACAAGGTTCTGAGTTAGATTTCTGGTAACCCCGCCCCAAAAAAACCCCAAAAAACAAAACTATATGTTTGTGAATAGACGTGATTTATAATTAACAGTCACCTCACACCTTAGTGCAAGACTGTTTTTATAACAATCATAGGCACTGCTGTATCATCTGTGTTTCACAAATTAGGACTGATTTTTCTCTTAAGTGCTTATTTTAAAATTCCCGTGATTTAACTGCTGTAACTTAGTGGCTCTAATGGAAAGAAAGATGAACCTCAGTCTATCTGGAAACAGCCAGTGCTGGTAATAGTCAGAGTCTGGTTTTGGGGGTGCTGCATCACAGGAAGCACTGCTTTAGCAATGATGTCTCCCTGGGCAGATTGTTCAAGTAACGTGGATTAGTGAAGACCACTGGGCCTGGGCATACCAAATATCGGACAGCCTGAGCCAGATGCTTGGCATGCGACTAGCTCAGCCTGGAGGAAAGGCCTGCTCCCTACTAGCCACCACCAAGTGGTCACTAAATGACCCCTGGTGCAGCCCACGAAGGTTAAGAGGACTGCTGGCTGGGAGGAAGCGTGGTGCTTCCTTTGCTTTTATTGATCAGACTTCAGAAAATAGCTTTTGTAAAGCCCAGACTTTATCTACAATACTGCTGAAAGCACGAGTGCCTTATTTTCCTCCTGAAATGATCGGCCTGAGTATCTACAGACTTTTATGTAATTGCCACATTGTCATGCATTTGACACATTGTCTTTTTTCATTTTAATTTTAGTATGTCCAGTTTAAACCTCTGAGTAGAATACTGGCAGAGATCAGATCTCACGAGTGGGTTTAATTTGTTTCCTTTATGGGTTTTAATTGCACATTCAGGGGACTTGGACAGAAGCTGGGCCTGTGATGACTTTGAAGATAGGGCACTGATGTGTAGTTTGTTCCTGTGGGAATGATCCACCCAAGTGGCAGTGGCCCACAGTGGTGTGAGCATTTGGAGAGTTAACTGTGGGCCTACTGTGTGTTTCCACTTTCATATACAAAGAAACCTTTGCAGGGCCTTAAAGCGTGGGCATGGTCTTTGTACAATGTCGTTTGCACATGGGTCTTATGGTAAGACCCATGGGAACCTGAGATGCCTAGAGCTAGTGTCTGAGAATGGTGGTGAGGAGGGTTTTTATCTCCCATTGGCTCTTAGTTTGGGAACGTGAGCCTAAATCTTCATGGCTATTCACTTATGACTCTTTTTGATAGAATAGCATTTCATTTCTGCTTCAGTATAATTTTTCCTTTTGAAACAAGCCCTTGGGCCAGGGATTTAGCTCAGTGGTTCTGACCCCTGCTTTGCAAGTGCAAAGACCCGAGTTTGATCCCCAGTACCCAAATAAATAAATAAATAAAAATTTAAAAATTAAATCAAGCCCTTTCAGTTTGTATATTATTTCAAATACAAATAGTCACATGTATTGACATTGGCTTGCATGGGGCAGACAGCCAGATATCACTTCAGTGGGAGATTTTTCTGGATCCAAATAAACAGAAGAAAGTACATACTGCTTTTTGGCAACAAGATAATTTCAAAATAACTTCCAAAAAAACAGATGAAACAGACTCCAAAACCACAGAATGAACCGTGACATGTTTTTCAGTGTCCAGTTACTCTTTTGACAGATAAATAGTTCCTGCTAAAGGTGTAGGGAAAGTGGGAAGGGTAGGGGAAAGGTAATGAGGGAAAAGAAAAAATATGAGAAAATGAAAAAATGGAAATAAAGTGTTAGTAAATGGGGAGGGAAGGAGCGGGTGAAAGGAGGGCAGGGACAAGGGGAAAAAATGAGAACCAAGGCCTGTCATGTAAAAGTACAAGATCCCAATGATGAATGTAACTGTACTGTATACCTAAAATGTACCAGTAAACTCAATTAAAAAAAATAGTTCCTGGGCTCGGAATTTAGCTCAGTGGTTCTGGCACCTGCCTTGCAAACACAAGGACCAGAGTTCAATCCCTGGTACAAAAAAAAAAAAACAAAAAAAAAAAGTTCGTGCTGAAGATGATAAATATAATACACCTGTGGAGTGGTGTTTGAGTCCAGTGGGAACACACCTAAGTCAAAATAAGAAAGCAAAATGTAAAGTTTTATGTGCTGTGCAACAGAATTATTGAAACATTTAGAATTGGAAAGAAATATGCTAGAATGCTAATAATACTGATCCCCAGTGGTGGGATTATGTGTTATGATTTTTTTTTCTGGTTCTTTATACCTTCTCTACTTTCCAAATTTTGCACAAGTGTGTTCATGTAAGCTATCTGAGCAGAAAAATAGAAAAAGCCTATATTTTCCAAAAATTTTATAGTAATATTTTATGATAAATCACTACCTTATTTTAAATAAATACAACATCAAGACAGCAGCTATCTAAGCAGAGAGTCTATAACAAAGAAAAAGAAAGGAGCAGTTGGTTGAAATACTGGGAGCTGGTCAGAGAGCAAAGAAACCCAAACTCTGCCGCTTTTGGGAAGGAAGCAAGCCCTGCCCCGTACTGACTTCTGGGCTTTACTCTCTCCATCCGAAATGATGGGTGGCCTCACATGACACGAATTTCTGTGATTCCAGTTTTACCACTGTTGTTGGCTTTGGCCAGGAAATCAGGACACATTAAAGGTCTGTGAAGAGCTTGGAGCTCACTAGAACATGGCCTGAAGTGTAATTGAAGGTGAAGCGTGAGGCATTGAGATCCAAGGATGGAAGCGAGTAAGGAGAGATGAAGTTTATGTTTGAAGGTTTCTCCTGCAGGTGAAAGCTAGTGTCTGTGAAACTGTGGTACAGCTCGTCGGGTAATTTAGGGCCTTCTGCTAGGCTAGCACAGGTCCCGTTAGGGCCCCGGAGCCCCCCTGGGGATCATCCTCTGCACTGTCCGACTGCAGTTGATAGGAAATGGAATTCGGGGCACTTCTCTACTGGCTGTCTTGTTCTCTTTTCCTTCTCAAAGCAACTCAGGAAAGGAATCCAAAGGACAGGGCTTGTTAAAGGGGAATGCTGGTGAAAGTGAGGTGACAGGTGCTCTGGCTTAGTTTTCAGGTAGGGTATCTAGGGACACAGTAGGGTGGCTTAGTGACAGTGTGTACTAGTAGTATATTGCCCCTCCTTCTGATTAGTCATTGGCATTCCAAATTTTGTATTCTGTGGTTGGTAAGCATTTTTGAAATCATAGGAAAAAGCTGATAGAAAATAAATGTTTTACCAGGCATGGGGGTGCACACCTGTAATCCCAGCACTCGGGAGGCTGAGGCAGGAGGATCGGATCGCTGTGAGTTCGAGACCAGCCTGGGCTACATAGTGAGTTCCAGGTCAGTCTCAACTACATAGTGAGACCCTGTCTTAAAAAACAAAAAAACACACACACACAAAAAAAGAAGAAAATAAGTGTTTCTTATTTGCTAATCTTTTTTAAAAAGAAGATTTGAAAACAACACACATAAACCAGGCGTGGTAGTGCATGCCTGTATACCAGCCCTCAGGAAACCAAGGCAGGAGGATCGCTTCGAGTTTGAGGCCAACCTGGGCTACTTAATGAGTTCAAGGCCAGCCTGAACTGCATAGAGGCCCTTTTTCAGAAGAAAACAAAATTTAAAACAACATACATTATATAGTTTTATACTTAAGCAGTATTTATTGTGAGGTCTTTACTTCTAGCCTCTCTGATGTGGCAGGGACACTATGTTATAAAAAAGCTGTAAGTAAAAAGAATTCTTTGATGATTTGGAAGAAGCGAGGGGATATTTGATCAGTACGTTTTCCTAGAGTGAAATGAAGCTTGGAAAAGTAGATTGATTTGGAGGCTTCACATTTCAAGACAGATATATTATTAAATTCATTCTGGTGTCCCCATGTTGAATGGAAAACGGTCGAGATATCAGGGTTTGAATCCAATGACATTAGCCGTGACTGCATTCTGGGTGGCGTGGGGATTCAGGTGGTGGCCTGTGGAGGAGCACAGGCCAGTGTCTTGATTACGGGTTGACAGTAATTTTTTTCCTACCCTTGTATATATAATCAATTTGATGAGCTGGGGATTTAGCTCAACGGTTCTGCTGCCTGCTTTGCAAGCGCAAGGTTCTGTGTTCGATCCCCAGTAACCCCCCTATATATATATAACATCAGTTTGATAAGCAGAGGGATTTTTTTCATTTTTAATTGAAAAAGTAGTAAATGAGCATTGTAAATGTTTCCTAGTTAAAAAAATAAAAATTACTCCAACTTGTTCCCAGAGGTAGCAGTCCAGAAGCAGTGGTGTGAGTCCTTTAGATACTTTTTGTGCCTGCGAAGGCACATCTCTGGGCATGTATGCACGCACACACACACACACACACACAAGACTATATTGTGCAGTTTCATAAAATAGTTTTTAAAGGGTTGTGTTTTAGGTTATATATTACCCTTGATTTACTATTTTATGCCCCTGAGTAAAAATAAAATACACACATTGGTTTGTATGTGTCATAGCTAAGTAATATACTTTTCCATACCCTTTTATTTAGCTAATAAAAGAGCTACAATTAGATAAAGCCTGATTGTATGAACGAAGAAAGTAACCTGAAATTTAAGTCTTATCTAACAATAAATTATGCCAGGATAGAAAATTCATTATAATTATATTCTGACACATTTTCGCAAGTGTGTTAGAGAAACAGGCAATTTAGAGCTGTCAGTCAGCCTCTTCCTCTTGTGCAGGATCAACTTCCAGGTCTCCGCTGGGCTGCATCATTGTTGTTCAAAAAGCGCGGAGTGGAGCAGTGTACACGAGGTTTGCCCACGCGTGGTTTAGATTACGTCCTTCTCTGAATTCACGATGTCCTCATCCAGTCCGTGCGCATGCCGCGAGGACTGCTCTATTCTGTGAAAGTCATTTTGCTTGGTAAAATAAAATGCCAGTCTGATACTTTAAGTTTAAAAGATAGACTGAAAAATAGTCATAAGGTTTTAAGTGATTTGGAAAGTGATAGTGGGTTGAACACCTGCATTCACTTTTCCTTCCTCCCCAAATGGCTCTGAAGAATAATAAATTGATGGTACACGTGCACACCTGTCAGAGACAAATAGAACCACAGAGGAGAAAACCACGGCAAAACACTGTACGCTGAAAACCCAGGGGGTAAGAACTCAGGTTAAGCACAGATTGGAAGCCAGAGTTCTAAGGGAACCACATAATCCCCTTGGAGGTCTTAGTTTACCTCCAAAAGTTTCAGCAATTATTTTGAATATAACTACTAGGAATATCATTTCCCTAATATAAACATGATAATGCACCGACTAAAATTATAATGCCGCTGGGAAAATGTGGTTAGGAGATTTACAGATAATTCACAGATAATGCCTAAAAATAAAAAATGATGATGCAACAGCTGGATCATTCTCTGGTACCAAAAGATCAGCTGAAAGAATTGAAAAAAAAAAGGGCCGGGGATTTAGCTCAGTGGTTCCGCCACCTGCCTTGCAAGCGCAAGGACCTGAGTTTGATCCCCGCTACCAAAAAAAAAAAAGAATGAATGTGGCTGTCCCGGGAATGGAGAACGGCTATGTCACCTTGTGTCAGGGGTTCTGGGAGGCAGAGGATCACAGGACTGCCAGTCACAGTTTTTAAAAAATTGCTCTTGATGTTATGTTCCTGTGTGAACTCTGAGAAAATTGTTTAAAATTGGATGTTTTAAAGTCCCTATGTGCTGAGCATGGTGGCACATACCTGTAAATTGTAGCACTCTGGAGGCTGAGTTAAGAGGATCCCTGTACATTTGAGGCCAGCCTGGATACGTAGCAAGACCCTCTCTCAAACAACAACAAAAATAAAGTAACTATTCTTCATATAGCAGCTTAGTGCATAGTTCTTTCACATTTTTATAATGTCACCAAAATTTATATGTGTCTTAAGATCTGTTGTCTTAAATTTAATGAACTATGATGATCCTGGTATTGTATCTTATCTGTGGATGACATGAGTATACTATCTCTCTCTCTCTCTCCTCTCTCTCTTCTCTCTCTCACTCTCTCTCTTCATATCTATAAGATTGCAGGCTTAAGTCTACCTCTCCCTCCCAAAAAATTGATTGGAAACATGGATCGTGAATTCATAGCTGAGAGGCAGAAAGGTCTTCAGAACTATCTCAATGTTATCACCACAAATCATATCCTGTCTAATTGTGAGCTGGTTAAGAAATTTCTAGATCCAAACAACTATTCTGCGAACTACACTGGTAAGCAAAAATGTCCGTGAGCTCCGGTCAGATGGGGCACTGTTCTTAGCAGGAGATAATATCTGTGGGAGACGCTACTTCCAAATGGGGAAAAGCTCGTTTGTAATAGGTATTATTTATTTACAAAGACTTACTTGATTGTAATTTTCTGTCGATTTATAAAAACAGACTTTATTTGCAAAATGTTTGTGATATATGCACAGAAAAATATGAAAAGCTGTCATATATATGTAGTTACATTCTTGTTTTTTTCTGACGGAACAGAGAGCATACAGTCCACAGTCATGCATATAGTAATTTCAATTTGACTATTTTTGCATTTACAATATACAGTGTGTCTGGTTTTTCATGGGATTTACTGCTGTGTCTCCCCATTTGCTCCCTGGGGACCTTGCAGGGCAAAGCACAGAGGCTGGCTCTCTGCCACTTTGTTTGCTTATCAGGGAGCCCCTGGGGGTCTCAGGTGGAAAGGGCTTTTCTTCCAGTACTGATTCCACACAACACCAGCATCAACAGGTGAAGCCTGCTGTCAGCAGGAGAAAGAACTAAATAATTAATACATTGAGTGGTGTTGCATTGAATAGACCAATAGACACCATTGTAGATCTGAACCAATGAATAGATTTCAAGCGATCGATTAAAGTTGAACAGTGCTTAGAGCTTTTCTAAGTGGAACTTGGGCATTGTTAAGTGAGTAATGCTCAAGGTCAAGCCCAAGAACCCGTGCATGCTATGCCAGTGAGCAAGAGAGGAGATCTGTCAGATAACTGGTTTTCCAAACATTGCTTTTGGGTGGGGAATGTAGCTCAGTGGCAGAGCACATGCCTGGCATGAGCAAGGCCCGGGGTTTGATCACCAGCATCGAACAAACGAACAAATAAAAGCATCGTTTTTGTTGTAGAGGGAAGCACTTTATTTCTGTTCCAGGGATGGAGGAATAGAGACCTACTTGTTTCAACGCTAAACTTTTCTGCGTACTAGAATCACCTGGGAAGCTTTTAAAAAAATCCCGATGCCCAGGCTGCACGCATGCCAATTAAATCAGAATCTCTGCAGGTGGGGCTTATGATATGGAAGGCTTCCCACGTGCCTCCGTTATGCTGTCCAACTTGAAAGGCCTGCTCCTTCAGGGTCGCCGTCTGACATTGGCAGCGTGAGAGCATGTAGAAGGTGCAGGGCTCCAGCCTCGTGCCAGGCCTGCTGCACTGGGAATCTGATTTAGCAGCTCCCCGCACACCTGTGATTGGCATGCACATTCAAGTGTGACAAGCTGCCTCTGTGTGACTTGCTGTCCTTTAGTTTAGGTGCTGTGCAAGGCTAAGAAAAAGTCTTTTCCAGAATGTAGCCAAGAGAAGGAAAGCTTGTTTCAACTCACGTTTACTAGAAACTACAAGATTAATCATCACATAGTTATGAGGATTCCATTCTTCCCCCACTGGTGTTTTGGTTCGCCTAGAGAGAAGACATGATCGCGCTTAGGAATGGGGCTCTGCAGTCAGCTCCAGTTAGGGTAGGATCTTCTGTGACTTCCATTTCTCCATGCTTCACCTCGACTGATCCCTAAATTGTCCATGAGCCGTCTGGATGGATTTGTCAGATCAGCCCACCACAGTGCTAGGCACGTCGTCATCTGTAGTCTCTCCTAACAGCATCTGCTGGCGTTCGGAAGGCCAGCATGAGAGTGCCTTGGCCACGAAGTGACGTCATTCACTCGGCAGACAGCAGCTGTCTTCCACACCAACTGCCAGAGCAGGGCTGAGAGCTGGGGACACAGGCTTGGAGCAGATGTGCTCTCTGCTGTCCTGGAGCTTGTACAAGGTGTACATTGAATCACATGGGTCAGTGCTAGGAGGGATCTTGGAGCTGTTTTATCAGGATTTCCCCTCTGTCCTGTGTGTGCCTGTTTTTTGGGTTTTTTTTTTTTTTTTTTGAGACAGGGTCAGGCCATGTAGTTCAGGCTGGCCTTGAAGTCACAGTGTTGCCTAAGGTGGCCTTGAACCCACAGCAGTCCTTCTCAGCCTTCCGAGTGCTGGGATTACCATCATCATACAACAACATGCCCAGCCTCCTTTTCCTTCTAGAGATATGGAAACCAAGATCCCCATAGAGGGAGGGACTTACGTTTTTGCATGTGTGTGACTATTGTTTGGTCTGAGATTTTTTTTAGGTTAAAATGCTATTTGGGGGCCCGGGATTTAGCTCAGTGGTTCTGCCGCCAGCCTTGCAAGCACAAGGTCCCGAGTTTGATCCCCGCTACAAAAAAAAAAAAAAATATGCTATCTGGCCTCTGGAAGGTTGTCTGGGCCACACTTCTCCTCCCACTGTACCCACATCCTGGGATTGTCCAGATCCTTCCCTCCCCCACACCACAGCAGGTGATCAGAAGCCCACCGGTAATGTGGGCAGGGTAACCCAAGGCCAGCAGGAACTCCCACCGGAATCCAAGTGCTCAGGAGCCCAGCCTCTGTTTAGAGGGCAGAGTCCTAAATGAAGCAGTTGCTGAAAACACTGTTCTCAGGAAGATGCTGGTCTGTTTCCTCTTTTGAATGAGGAATTTCCTCACCTCTTAGCGGACTCAGTGGCTGGTGAGGCCACCTCCTCCTTGCCAGCTTGTACGAACCATTCCTGAAATGCACAGGAGAAGCCCAACTTCCCTGGGTGGGGCCCTTCTCCAAGCAGGGCCGCTTCTGCCTTTGAATGTGGGCATTGCCTACTTCTCAGTTTCCGAGGGGCCTGAGGTCACCGCCCAGCTTTGCTTCAGTGGGGTTTGAGTTCTGTGTTTGCGTGGTCACCGAGCTCCACAGTCACTTTGGCTGCTCACCGCTCTGACTGGGTTGAGGGCGTCTGGTCAGAGGGGACTGAGCTGCAACCGGGGCCCAGGGGATTGGTAGCTGGGAGCTCTCCAGACATCCGCATCTGCCTTCTGTCTGCCAGACTCAGCCCGGGGTTGCTGGGCCTTTTATTCTTTTCCGGCTTGTTTCCAGATGACCAAATCCACAGAAGGTAAATGTGGGCCCTTGGACCTTTGTGGGGAGGGGTCAGGTACTTGCGTATAGGGAAGACAGTTGTTTCACAGTGGTGAGGAGAATGCTGAGAAACAAACACACCTTCATCTTATTAATGAGCCACTTCTGTCTTTTAAAAGCCTCAGACTTTCGTGTCCCCTCAGAGCACAGGGGCTTTTAATATCTACACAAAAGTCCCTGGAGCCAGAGACCAGGAGACCCGGATCCTGTTTCCAACTCTGTCAGCAGCAGCATTTCCCTGTGTTCCCTGGGACCCTAACCTACAGAAGTAGAGGTTGAGCAGCGGAGAATGGACCCGGGGATATTGAAGTTCTCTTCCAGTCCTGAAACCCTAGAAATCCCCTAAATAGTAGGATAAAGGGAGGGAGGGACTCACCTGGGAGATCAAATTCAAAACAAAAGCAGGGTGCTTCAGAGGGGTGGCATCTAAGAGTTCAAGACATCTGAGTGGGAGCGCCTGACCCTGGTGGGAGGATGAACTGGAAGGCTTAGCTCTAGGTTTCTATCTTGGGCTGTTTTTTCAGCACCCCCATCTGTGTCCACAGGTAGAAAAATCAAGGGCACAGGCCTTCCTTTTCATGGGTTTCATGCTGTAATGAGAGGTCCAACATCCATTGACCGTGGATTGAACCATTGGTTCTCTCTCTCTCTCTCTCCCTCTCCCTCTCTCTCTCTCTCTCTCTCTCTCTCTCTCTCTCTCTGTCTCTCTCTCGTGTGCTCTCTTTCTTTTTTGTACCAGGGATCGAACTTGGAACCTTGCATTTGTGAGGCAGGCGGTGGAATTAGGGGTGGAACCACTGAGCTAAATCCCTGGCCCCGTTTGGTTCTTCTTTATGAAATGTTTACTATCTGCCCAATGCTGCGTATACTGTAGGGAGAAAGGAGCAGCCCCTCCCTACAGTCCTGCCATCCCAGGGCGCTTATCCAGGGAGGTGACCAGTGAGGTCTGTGGCTGGAAAGATGAGACATCCCCTTGGCAACGGAAAGTGGGAAGTGCAGCTAGTCCAGGCCTGGGGATGGAAGAGAATTTCTGCTAGAGATGAGACCAGCAAAGAAGGCTGAGGTGTGAGTGGAAGTTAGCCTGAGGTGGAGAGAAGTAGTTCCAAATGGCTCTGGGCTTTCCCCAGATTGGCAGGTAGCCTTCCAGCCAGAATTTAGCCTAGGGGAAGAGAGAGAGGGAGGGAGTACTGAAGGCAGGCCTGGCTAGGGCAGTGGTAGGGCAGGGCAGGGCAGAGTCTGGACGGTGAGGTGGGCCAGGTAGAAAATGCCTGTGACGTGGAGAAAGGCCAGCCATGGGAATCCCTGGGAGGAAACCTTGGAGTCCAGTGTGGGCGCCCTGTGGGAGACAAGCCAAAGAGACACGGGGAGCCAGAGGTAGGTCAGACGCTGGGCTTAGCAGCTTGGCTGTTGATTTGCAAGGAAGTAGGGGCAGTAAAGGCTTCTGAGCCGAGGAGTAGATGTTTTGGGGGTTTTGTTTGTTTGTTTGTTTGTTTTTTGAGACAGGGTCTCCCTATGTAGTTGAGACTGACCTGGAACTCACTGTGTAGCCCAGACTGGTCTCGAACTCACAATGGTCCTTCTGCCTCAGCCTCCCGAGTGCTGGGATTCCAGGCTTGCGCCACCATGACCGATGAGGAGTAGCTGTTTAGGACTGAAATGGGCTGACTGAGTCTGGTGAGGGAGGATGTTAACATTGGAAATGTGGTAGCCAGGTGATTTATTTGACAGTAAGTCACAAATCAATGGAAAGAAAATGTTGTTTCCCCAATTCTCTAACTTCTAAGGCAAAAAAAAGGGAAAAAAATGTATTTCCTAGCCTTCAGTTTATTAGTGAAAATTTAGTATGTTCCCTTTGTTGACCGATATATTTCCCCATTCATAACATATGGTAAGTAATGGCATAAAATAAACATTATTGATTAATGATTTTATAGGGAATTATGAGTCACTGTTAATTTTAAATAACTGTCTTTTCCAGTCTCTTGAAATGACATTGTACTGCATTAGAAAATTACTTTTCATCATCCTTCTCAAAGCTGATATGAATAATTTTCACTTAAAGTAATTTCAAGTTTACTTTCAAGTTATTTTGGAAATGAGAAAAACACTACATCAACATTATTATAGAGGAGGTGCGGAACTCTCAGAGTTGTTAATAAAAATCTGTGTTTTCCGGCAACTGCCAGCCCCCAAATGGTTTGTTGCATCCTAGGGTACTTACAGTAAATGTGAGTGGAGCCGGTTTTATAATTGTCATCACTTGTTTCCTTCTGAGTGGATGCCACCGACAAGTCACATACTCGGTCAGCAGCGGCTAGTCAGATCTCTCTTCCTCAAATCTCTCAATGCAGAAGGAGCTATAGAGTTTCCCCAAGTGATACTGTTTGCCATACTCTCAGCATGCTAACCCCAGAGGAGGTCGGTTTGGTTTAGGGAGAACAGGAGAGTCCCTTGCATGCCTGCTGCGCAGGCGGAATTCTTCAGCGCACTGGGAAGCTGCCGCTTGCTTTCAGGAATCTGGAGTGCCTTCTTGTACTCACTGCACTGAAAGGAAATGGCACTTTACAGATGTGCTTTTCTCAGGAAATGCAAAAGAGCACAGTTATTCTGGTAGTTTCTTAATCCAGTGAACTTTAAAGAACTTCCTCTTCTCATGGTCATCTTTAAAAGGGGAAGCATTTGCATGATAAATGAACACTGAAAAAAAGCACAGATTTTTTTTCCAGTAAATAGACAGTCAATGACTTCCCACAAGAGCACCATGTTGTTGCTGAACATAGATGTTTTTCTAAAACACTGGCTTTTATTTCCAGTACATATTTAAAGCGAATCATTTCTTTGTTGGTGGAAGCTATAATTTCATGAGAATGGAAGATGGGATAAATAGCACTTGGAACAGCATAAAATGCTGTGTTCCAGTCTGACTTTAGAACATATTTTGAATCTTGGGCTTGGATTGTGGCCTGGTGCATATATTGAATTCTTGTCTTAGGGCCGCTACTTTACATATTTCAGATTTTCCAATTTAAAAAATGATGTATTTTCATATCATGAATAATTTTTAGTACATTTACTTTTGTAATAATTTTACAGAGAAGTTACAGTGACAGTGTTTCCATGTGGTCATCCGTGTTAACACCTTCTATAAGTGATAAAGGAAAAATATAACTCTGACCTGTTGGATGTCAGATGTGCACAGTCTGGTCTCACAACATCAGGGAACGAAGTCACGAACCAAAGAAGTTAGGAGAGTTTTACTGGGAATAAAGGGGAAGAAGCACAGCTCCTGGGTTTCCAGGCGGGGACCCGAGTGAGTAGCCTCCTAAGCCATTGGTTGGGAGTAGCTCACACAGCAAAATCACAGCGTGGGCGCAACACAGGTCAGACTACAATTAACCTAAAGGATTACACATGTAGCCACATGGCTAATATTGACCCAGTAGGGACAGCCAGGATGTATGGAAAGAACAAAAGCGCTTTGGGGAAGGGAGGGGAGTGTGGGCCTGGCTGTTGTGGTCGCCCACCGCCCACCTTGCGGCTGACGCCTGTGCCCCCGCTGGGCCAGGCCGAGCTCACCTGGTGTAATCTCAAGCTGTGCTTGTCTCCAGGGAGGCTCCCGGGCCTGGCCACTGCTTCTCCATCCTGAGGCGGGGCTCTCTCCACATTTGCCTCCGGCCGCAATTCTCATGTCTGTATTTTTTGTGCTGCTTCCTTGAGGCCCTGATCCTTCTCCTAATTGTCTATTAACATCTGTCTAACATAGCTGCCTATAATATAACCTTGCTATATTTATTAAAACTGAAAAAGAAAAACTGAGAAATGGTATCGGTAAATGTAATACAGAATCCATCAGTTTTATGCTCTTCCAAGGTCCAGTCTAAAATTCTATATTGTTTTTAGTTTTCTTTCACTTTATTATTATTTTATAATTAAATATTTAAAGGAGGTCATACACTATAAGGATTGAATTTGCAAATAATTCTAAAGCGTTTGACTCTTTCACAATAAATTTGACTCATGAGTTTCTAAAATATCTTTGCAGAAATTGCCTTACAACAGGTTTCCATGTTCTTCCGATCAGAACCAAAGTGGGAGGTGGTAGAACCGCTGAAAGACATAGGTGAGAAACTGGGGTGCTTGTCCTGTTAGAAAGACAGACCACAGAACTGGATTCTTAATAATGCATTCAGATTCACATCCCAAGAATGCTCTCATCTTCTGGTGACTTTTTGTCCTTTTTGACTCCCTTGAGTGATGCTTGAGGATAGACCTTAACTTTTAAAGCTTGATCTTGGTTAAAGCCCCATCATATGGATTTGGATGGTAGCAACTCTGAGAACCACCATTTATTCTTTTTATTTTTTGGTACCAGGGATCGAACTCTGGTCCTTGTGCTTGCAAGGCAGGTGGTGAAACCACTGAGCTAAATCCTAGCCCTGCCATGTATTCTTCACCTGCCTTTTTCAACTGACATGCTATTTTCCTGCTATTTCTAAGAAGATAAAAACTTCTTTGTAGTTTTTTAATATAGCCTTTACCATGTGACTATCACCAAGTGGTTGTTGTACAAGTGTGAGTGCTTACATGGCTGTGGGTAGTAACGTGGCCAAACTTAATTTGATTAATTATTTAATGAGGGAAACAAATCACTTGTGGCAAAAATTATGGAGCTACAAACTAATTTCTGCTTTTGTGGCAGGTTGGAGGATTAGGAAAAAGTACTTCTTGATGAAGATTAAAAATCAACCGAAGGAACGGCTGGTGTTAAGCTGGGTAAGCTAATCCTTGGTTCCATTTTACTTCAGGAAATTTAGATATGTGACAAGAGGATTACAAAACTCTGAACTTCAGTGATAATGTCAGCGTTTATTCAGTCCTACATCAAAGGAGAGTCATTTTAAGTCACTTTGCTGTTCATTTGGTTAGCTAGTAAACATTTGGAAAGAAATATAAGCCAAATAAAATAATTCTTTGGAATCTCTTTGGGGCTGACAGTTTTGAAGTTTACCTCCAAAGAAAATATTTGGGCATTACCTTATTTCTTTTACCATTTGGGGTGTGCTAGTGATGCATTTGTCAGTGGAACCACATGAGATTACAGCCAGGTCCTGGTATTTTATGTTTATGCATTGCATTTCCAGAAGGGCCTTGAGGAGCAGGACTTTAGTGGGCTGTCATCTGTTGTACAGTCAGATATCTGTCTGTTAGAGGGAAGGGTTTACAGGAATTTTTCTTTTGATGACCAAGGCAGTACCCTAATATTTCCTCTCGTGTTTCCAGGCTGACCTTGGCCCTGACAAATACTTGTCAGATAAAGATTTTCAGTGTCTAATCAAACTTCTACCTTCCTGTTTGGTAAGTATGAGTCCTCCTATTATTCTCAGTGCTGATCACAGCTGTACAGTGTTTTCTTGAGGCTGAACAAGGACAGAAGAGCTAGAAATACTCAGTAGGCTGGAGAGAATGGAGAGGTGCAGAGGATTTCAGTGCAGGACAAAACTGGATGGGTACTACCATAGCTCAGAGGCATTTAAAATTGTACTTATGGCTAGGTGTGGTGGTGCATGCCTGTAGTCCCAGCACTCAGGAGGCTGAGGCAGGAGGATCATTCCAAATTTGAGGCCAGCGTGGACTACATAGTGAGTTCAAGGCCAGCCTGAATGACATTAGGAGACCCTGTCTCAAAAAAAAAAAAAAATTGTATTCATGACATCTCCACAACCCACAAGCATGGTAATGTAAATATAGCCTTTGTGTTATAAGCACATATCAGAGAAGGAAAGTAGTCACTTCTTTGAGCCTCTTATTCTTTGTGAGGTTGTTTATATCAGTGGAATTCAAAGATCTGTTTATAGCCTGAGAAAACTAATAAGGACTAATAATCAAATAAAACAAAGAGGGGAAGGAAAGGCAAAATAGCCATTTTTCTGTCTATATTATTACTCCCAGGCTAACTCACTGCCTTTTTGAGAGCAAGTCTTATTTACGTTAATGTACAATTCTAATCTGAGGCCTTCTTTGGAAAGAACCACATTATAGATTTTATTTAGTGTTAAATTTTTACTTTTTGGTACCAGGAATTGAACTCAGGGCCTTGTGCTTGCCAGGCAGGCACTGTGGTGCTGAGCAACATCCCTGGCCCTAGATTTTAAAATATGTGCAGCCCATTTGGAACAACTAAATCTCCAGTGGCCGATGTGCCCGTCACCAGATGAATGGATAAAGCAAGGTGGTGTTTATACCCCATCGGATACTTCTGTGCCGTGGAGAGGGACAGACTGAGTCCCGTGAGGAGAATGCACGAGGCTTGCGACCGTGACGTTAAGTGAAACCAATCAGACACACGAGCTTAACTGTCGCGTGATTTCTCGTATAAGAAAAGCAGAGTAAAAATAAAGAGCAAAATAACAAATAGATAATAAGAAGCAGGGAGATAGGTCTTTCTCGAGGGGAAGGAGATCAGGAGATGGAGGGGCTGGAGGGAAAGGGAATGGAAAAGAATTAAGGTGTATCCTGGCTGTCCACCAGCTCCACTCAAGGAGCGTACGCCTGCACCACATGTATGGACCAATAAACTAAAATTAAAAATAAAATGCGTGCAGTTCACCCACAGCAAAGACGTGTCTGACAGGAAACCTGAGTCAGTGCTGAGGGTGTAGGACCCCAGGGTGAGTCACTTGTGGGCTGAGCATGATTATGCTGACTTGTCTACATGGGTTAGCAAGTTCGTTTTTATGTATTTTATCTTTAAATTTTTATTTACTTACATTGTAATTTTACAGTTCTGGGAACTGAACCTAGGACCTTGTCACTGAGCTATATACTCCTGCCCTTTTCTTTATTATTTTTATAATTCTGTGACGGTGTCTTGCTAAGTTGTTACTCATGTGAGGCTTGAACTTGCCGTCCTCTGGCCTCAGCCTCCCAGAGCTCAGAATTACAAGCATGTGCTGCCACACCCAGCAGCAAGTTTGTTTTTAAAGATAGAATATTCTGAGAGCCAGGCAGGGTGCTGCAGGCCTATAATCCCAGGAAGGCAGAGGCAGGAGGGTCACTGAGAGTTGGAGGCTAACATGGGTCACATGATGAGTTCAAGGCCAGCCTGACATAGTGAGGCTCTGCTTCAAAAAACAAACAAACAAATAAAAAAATGGATAGAATGTCCTGTCAAGCTAGCAAAACTGAAGTTTTAGTGAGGTATGATGGATGGCCAAGATAAATGCTATTGCCTTGAGTTTGGTTGTTTGACCACATGATGAGCACAAACTTTAAAACCCAGCTCCCTCCCCTCCCCTGCTCTCCTCTCCTTTCCCTTCCCTCCCTCCCTCCCTTCTTCCTCTTTCCTTCCTTTCTTCCTTCTTCTTTCCTTCCTCCCTGCCTCTCTTCCTTTCCTTCTTTCTTTTTCGTGGTGCTAGGGATTGAATCCAGGGCCTTGATCATGCTAGGCAAGTGCTCTGCCTCTGAATTACATCCCCAGCCCCTCAAATTTCTTTTAGTAAAGATGTGCTTCTTACAAAACATAGTTCATACAGAGTGCATAAATTTTAAAAGTGAGAAGGCACAGAGGAATGAAAATAAGAAAATGAAACTCACCTAGGATTACATCCCAGCCAACTAGAAGTAGGAACCAAAATATTCAGTTGTTACTGTCTTAGAATTTTTGTATGATTTTTTAAAAAATGTGTATTTATGATTTTAAAACCAAGTGTTTTTTCACTAATGGTGTGTCATGATCCTTAGTTGACAATAAATGTAGTATAACATCATTATTACTGATTACATAGAATTAACATTGGCTGTACCTTAGTTTTTTTGTTTTTTTGCTTTTTGGTACTGGGGATTAAACTGAGGACCTTGCACCTGCTGAGCTAAATCCCCAGCCCATATATCCATATATATATATATATGTTTTTTTTTTTTTTTTAAGTTACCAGGGATCAAACTCAGTACTGTTGTGCTTGCAAGGCAGGCGGCAGAACCACTGAGCTAAATCCCCAGCTCACTGAGCTAAATCCCCGGCTGGCTGTACCTTTTACTTAACTAATTTCCTAGACATTTAGATGTCCAGCTTTTCCTGTTATGTAATGAAAAATGTGATGAGCACAGTGGCACATGTGTGTAATCCCAGCCTCATGGGAGTCTAAGGCAGGATTGCTAAGTTTGAGGCAAGCCTGGGTAACATAGCAAGACCTTGTCTCAAAATAAAATTTAAAGGGGCTGGTAACATAGCTTAGTGCAAAAGTCCTGGTTTCAATCTCCAGAAAAAGAAGGGAAGAAGCTATAATAACAATTTTAGCTGGGCATTTAGCTCAGTGGTTCTGCTGCCTGCTTTGCAAGCACAAGGTCCCGAGTTCGATCTCCCGTACCAAAAAAACCAAAAAACATATATATAAACACACATACATATATTGCAGTTTTAGCTTACT